ATCTTTTCTCAATGTTCATATTTTAATCCATTCCTGATCCCTTTTCTTAAGAAAATTTTATATTTTTGTGCAACTCCAACTCATTAACAAAGGCAATAGTTAATTCCAATGATGTGGAGGTGGTAACGTCTTCATACTTGGTCTACTGTTTTTTTTTTTTATTTCTTTCATTTTGTTTTTCTGTTGTTTGTCCAAAACCATTGCCTTTTTTTCACTCCACATATATAACACCTTGATATCCTTAAAACCTTTTTGTGGCACACAAAAAAAAGCTAAAACCAAACCAATCCAACCCTAAACTCTGCACAAAAGAAAGGTGACCTCCTTACTATAAGATCTGGTTGAGCAACCCCATTAACAATCAGTGTTTCTAGCCTCTTCATAGCCACATTCTAAACCCTTATCCTGTTATCCATTTATAAAAATTTAGCCTGTTAGGTAGTAGATTAACAAACAAACTCCTGTTTTGAGCTGCCAATCCCTAGTAATAAACCCCAGCATTCTATAACCAAACCCTTCAACCATTCTATTTCTTTCCCAAAGTATGTGAGGTTTCACTGGTCCAACATCATTCATGCTCTGCAATGTTGTTTTGACTTCTTTTTCTCTTGCATTACCAAGTAAATGCCTTTTTAATCCAATCCATGAAGCACAACCAACTAGGCAACATTTGAGCTGCCTACATTTTTTTCCATACCAGTGAAATCCCATATAGTTCAGCTTTCAATTGATTACAATGACAGAGTATATCTCATGTTTTTTCTAATTTATTAACAATGTTCCCCCAATCCGGAATATATTGTCTACAAGGATATCAGTCTTCTGGTCTACAGGATGCATCAATTTTGGCGGCTCCTTTCTTGGATCTCAAGTGTTATATAAATCATCCTACTTATGAATGACGTTTATCATACTAGTTTTGAATTCAAAATCATTGAAGTTATGGTAATTTCATATATATAAACATTACATAAAAGGGCACCTGTGCTTCCAGCAGAAGTTGAAAGCCCAATGCTCTCTACTGCTTCCTTCAGCCTATTCCTTGAATGCACAAAAGACTGCCAACCATCAAACAAAAATAGTAGTGCCAAATGTAGAAGGAAAATCTTGCTTTACAACCATTTGCATTCAACACAGAGATGGGTATTTTCAATAAGATCATCTGTGTACATTGCTTCTTGATTTTTGCATGAAAGAACACTTTTTGGTTGGTCACAGTGCTCCCATTGTAACAAGAGGGACCACTGACTGCAAGACATACATTTTTAAGAAAAGCTAAAAGTATTAGATAGTATATGAAGTTTAACTGAAAGATGTACAACTTTATACAAAAAACAGAATGCCCTCCAAAAAAGAAAACAATACTCAGGCAAGAAACTATCACTGTGCAAAAGAGCTCACTGCACCCTTGAATTGGAAAGGCATTCAGAAGCTAAACTGAACTCTCTTGGGAACCATCTGATGTTAGAAGAAATAAGTAGTATAATATCTCTTATCCCATTAATGTATTGAGCCAGTCTCGAAGACCCTCTTTCAAGATTCTGATTCCAACTGACTGCAGTTATAGAATTGCCCTCAATGATCAAGGAGGTAAAACCAAGGCACCTCAGCTTTGTTAGCATCAGCATCCTTGATAGGTCCAATGTTGGGTTACAAAATTCACCATCCACTCCAAAGAAGATCTTACCGCTGCCAGCAGATCCCTTGAGTTTAAAGCTAGCTCCCCTGAGCGATACCATCTCGCTCACCTCCCTACTCATGGGAGCAAGCAAGAGGAAAGAGAAAGACCTGTGAAGGACTACCTCCATAAAGTTGTCTTTGGATTGCAGGATAGATGCGGAAAAGTGGCAAAGAACTTTTTTCATTCCATTTCAATGGAAATGGGGCACGGGACCCACCATCAAGTAAAGCTTACTCAAGAACTTTTGATGATCATCGACAAAACATAAATCAGACGGTTTAGGTCAACTAATTAGGTCTGAATCTGATTAAGATTAACTGTGGTTTACTTAAATATTAACTTACACCCGACCGGTGAAGATTGGAGACGTGCCGTCGTCCGGTCAACCGATTCTATTCAACACTTGGTTTTGAGGCAACGTTGGCAACGCAACCCAGTTCGCTAAGTATCCTCGGTTATGACTTATCCCTCGCTTGTCCCTGAAATCCACTCAACGAATCCCCCAAAAACATTCCCCTACAAAAAGCACCGATAAGTTATTCATGATTCCCAAATCCTCTCCCCAACTGCCGTAACGATCATTTGATTTGACACAATGGAATCAGTGGCCTCCAATTCACCTTCGGCTTCACCGCAGCAGCTGCGGTCGCAGTCGCACCCCCGATTCAAGCCAGCCCAACCAATTGCAGATCGGATAGCCCGAGCCTTCCGCCACCCTCTCCAGCTCCTCCACCGATCAGACGACAAGTTCTTCATCCTTGGTGCGACGTGCAATGTGTACACTGTTACATTGTCCACCACCCCATCTTGCACATGCCCCGACCGCACAATTCCCTGTAAGCACATTCTGTTCGTCTTCCTCCGCGTCCTTGGCATGTCTGTTGACGACTCATGCCTAAGAAGGAGAACGCTCAGGCCATGCCAACTGAGTCGCCTACTCGGGACGCCCACCTCCCCTGAATCCTTGGCTGGTGCCCATCTGCGAGAGAGATTCCATCAGCTCTTCTCACAAGCAAGACGGGATCCTCCACGGCGGGTGACAGGTTTGGAGGACGGAGCCACATGTCCAATCTGTCTGGAAGAGATGGGGATTGAAGATCGGTTGGTAGCTTGTGGAACCTGCCGGAATCCCTTGCATGAGGAGTGTTTTCATACATGGAAGAGGAGCAGGGGGAGGAGGGCAGCTAACTGCGTCATTTGTAGGGCAAGATGGAGGGAGAGAGCCGATCAGGAGAGGTATCTGAACCTCGGTGCGTATGTTACCGGGGATGAGAATGTTGGGGGTAGTAGTAGAACTCCATGTGGTGGTTAATGGTTAATGGATGTAAATACAGAGTACTGTAAGGTGACATGCAAGTGTTTTAGTCGGTGATTGTAGAATAACAATGTACATACAGTACTGTAATGTATTCAAGATTAGCTTAAACTTGAACTTTTTGTCAAATCAAACGGGTCAATGAGATTGCTTTCATATAATTTATCAATTGGGTGGTTGTTGGGTGGAGACCTGATATGCCCAGTCTCTCCCTCCTCCAAGGTGTTGTGCTTAATGCCTGCACAAGCCAACACCAAAAAGAGAAGAAAGAGATGAAGGTCAGGCCATGGAGTCGAAACTGAGTTACAGCCTCAGACTTCCATTTCTCAAGGAAACTGCAAATTTCTGTATAAACCATTGTTATCTATGATACTAGAGACATGGTTTACTGTTGCCATCATATCTCATAGGCCTTAAACACAGATAACAAGCCGCATATGTTCATTGGCAGAAGGGCAGGCCCATATCTGATATGTGGGGATTGTAGAGCCGAAAATTCCACCGCTGTGCGTGTCATATACTTGGAAAGGCTTGTAACCTTTAAGGATTTCATCAATTGCTGAAAGAGTCAGCATCTCATGCAATGAGACAGTAAAATAAACCCAATATCCAGTCCAATCCTCCCAAAACACTGATAAGTGATGGCTGGGACCAACATTGGGTAATGGCTTTTGTTTGATTGATGAAGCAAAAAGCATTGAGGCCTTTTATCACTGAAATGCTCCAGAGATTTCCTGAAGGCCCAGGGATCAAATAAAGAAAACATATCTCCGGAATCCAAATATCATGAAGCATTAAGTTGTAGCCTTAATCATAATCATTAACTTTGGCATGTAACAGCCAACAGCATTATCTTTCATCTGCAACAAATATTTGCATCTCATTCCAGCTGCACTCATGCTCCTTGTTAACGCCCAGGTCCTTCATCTGTTTTAGATGTACGAGTGTTGGATGAAATGGCAAATCTATATGAATCATGGGGAATCAACGACAGGCAATGCTGTGCATCTCTAGTGCCAAAATAGGAGCTTCTATGAACTGCACAAAAAGCAAGGACCTCTATATCCCAAATTCTGATGGAAATGGATACTTGAGGACAAAGGTTTCTGCTCATCAAGATATCCTGCGTGTCCAAGGAGTTCAACATGGTTGTTAATCATTTGATTGTGATAGTTTTCTCCTTCTTCAATGAAACCTGTATGGCTACAAGCAAATTGAACCATAACAAAGGTAGTGCATATTTGTATTTTACTAGAGCTCACCAAATCCTGAAATAGGAATGGCCTTTTCATTGAACCCATTTTATGCATCACTGTTGCGAAAAACCCAAGAAAACAGATTCGAATGGCACCCAACCTGAAAGTAAAAGTAGAGAGAAAGAGAAACAAGCGCAGAGAACACACATGGATTTATGTGATTCGGCTTATAGCCTACGTCCATGGGCGAAGGAGGAACAGAAAATCCACTATGAAGTTGGTAATGGAGAAGAAATACAGAGTTGTGCCCTCACAGCAAAAAACCCTAAGCCCCAAATACACCCAATGTCTCACTCGTCTCTCACAAGACTAAGACACTGTATACAAGAGAGAAAACCCCCAAAAATATATAACTCTTCGTATTCGGTTCGGACCTATGAAATGAATATGGATCAGGTCCATACCGCCACAGCCCAAGCCCTACGCATCCACCACAAACCATTATGAAAATTTGCCTTCGGGTTTTTTTCAAATTAATTCAGAGCGGATTCATGAAGCAGGTCGCCACAAAGAATTCAAGGCACAAACATAGCAATCACCCACGACCATTGAATTCCAAGATACTGCATTCTCCCCAGGCATCTTCCTGAATACCTTCAATAAATCTTCTACTATTCCAAATTTTGACTTTTGAATTCATGTCAATTGGCTCATGCAACCACGCTTATCTTTTTCACATTTCCTTGCAATTGTTTTCTCTATCCTAATGCAGCCAAGTTAGCTAATGCTTTAAGAACACTAAAGAAGGATAACTAATCATTTTTCCCCTTGAAAGAGTGTAAATTTTGTAGAAATACTCGAAGGAATTGTTCCCCTTTCTCTGTTTTGTTCAAAACAATAATTCCAGCCAAGGGTATGGTTTTGGCCTGTTGGGTGAGGTTAACTGGTTATGGGCTCAAAAAGCCTCCACTGCATTGTCCATAAGACTACACTTAGCATACAAGGTTAGCAGATCTGTTCCTAACAGAGATTTGATTCCAATGCAAATTTGATTGACTGAGCATGAACTTGAGCACCCTCAGCCAGCCAATTTGTCCAAATAAATGGCAGGAGGAAAAAAGATCTGCAAATGTAAACATGTCTGTTTCATGTTTTAAACGTGCAACTTGGCATAAAGTTCTTGTTGGCATCATCTGTCCCAACCAGACTGCAGCATGTTACAAGTGCATTCAAGGATATAGTGTTCCTTGTATCCCCCCCCCAAATCTCTCTCTGCCTCTTTTTGTTTTCTTTTTTGATATCTTCTGAAGGGCTACAAAACAGGGGGTAGTCCATCCCCCAACCCAGGTGCAGGTGGGGTTTAATCCCAAGTCTCCACTTCAACCATCAGGAGACCTTACCAACCAGCTGGTTGGCACCATGCCTCTCTGCCTCTTCAATGTCAAGTAATTTCTGAATATTTATCTACAAGTGCAGTCTCTGCAACTATATATTTTGGAATTCTAGACTTCAAGGTTTTAACTTGGAAGTGCCTATCTGCACTCTGTGGCATTTCATCTGAAGCTTTCAGAACACAATCAAACACAATACCGAAGAAGGCCTTCCAATTTAATTTGATAGAATAACTCAATAGCCTCCTTCCTATGATAATTTTGAACATACCCATTAATTATGTTGTTCCAACTTCCAAGTGACAACATCTCTTCTTTTCATCTGATCATCAAAATCGTGGCAAACTATTTCTAAACTACCACATTTGGAATACATAACAATTGTTGATCAACCAACTGAAACATCTGAATCACAACCTGGCTTAATAAGGATCTGTATGCATATATTTTCCAATCCTAATGTAATCAATAAGCCTTGAAACTACTAGCAAATTTGCAAGTGCAAAAGTGTTCGCCATTGATATCCAATATAACAAATTAATCGCTTCGGAGTGCAAAACATTCTGTTAGTTTGCTGCAATCATGGAGTTCATGAGACAGCACCTCTGTACCGGCCTAGGGCTGGCTTGTTGGTGTGTTAGTTGGTTCCAGCGTGGAATCAAATCCCACAACCAGCACTTTGGGGAAAAAGGGGTCATAGGGAAGTTATTAATGGTGCATAGCACTGAATACCAAAAAAAAAAGAGAGACAGCATCTCTGCTGAGCAAATGATCAAATACCTGACAAGCATTCCTCTGGACCACCTGGAATACATTGTGATCAAGCCAGATTTGCAGAAATTAAGATAGTGCTCCATCACTCAATTACTGTACAGTCATCGATATCATTGAGACCACTCTGGATCAGGTAGACAAAATGTTGTAAGCACGTTCAATGAGCACTTACAAAATTTTTTGACCCATGTCCCTTAAAATATCCTAGCCTACCCTTGAAAAAAGATTAAAAACCACTTTTGACGGTTGATAGAATATTTATCAAGTGCTCATTGAATGTACTTACTATGTTGTGCCTACTAGATCCGGTCCTATTGAGGTATGGGGAAACAAATTGTTCTCAAGAATTTTTCTAAATGTGTGATGGGGTTTGATAAAAACTGTTGCATTGGGTAGCGATGTAAATACATATTTGCACGGTGGAAATGATGACTCTGGTTCAGTTGAATGCAACATGGGATCGGGTGTAAAAATTGTTTCTCATTTTGTTTTGGCATGGAATGGCAGAAACACTGAAGCTTTGCACAGAAAAGCTAATGCTCTCTTTTACTGTTTTACATTGATTGATGAAATTTATTCACATCCCTACCAAACGTCTACAAAACAAGACCGAAGTGCAATGTAGCACCAATCTGAGATTTACATTGCTACCAAACAAGTACTGACTTATTTGCAGATGAACTCTTGAGATAAATTGTATTGGATAGGAGATCACATCTCCGCCCCACAGCACATCCCCACTGTGTATTGGGAACATCATCGGTTCTGGTATTATCATCGGGAGATATTCCCAATACACGGCAAGGATGTGAGTGTTGTAGGGCAGAGATGTGAGCTCATTGGATAGCGTAGTTGATTGGATTTTTTATTTTTTTTTTCAATTTAGGGGCATTCTACAACATGATTTATTTTTTCATTTGTTTTTGGAATCACCACACTAGCAAAAAATGTTATTTAACTATGATTTTCTTTTCAAAGGGGAAAACAAGTTCATTTTGTTTCAAAAAACAATACATGTTTTTGGAATTAACAAAATATTAGTTTTTAAAACAAAAAATAAATTTTCTAGTATAGAAATTATATGATTTATAAACATGTTTTTGAAACTAGGTTCAAGAACATGTTTATAGTTTCCGTTTCGAAAATAAGAAACACATATAGTCGTATACAACCAAGAATGTGTTTTTTGTGTTTTATTTAAAAGAACAACCTGTTTTCAAACAAGTTGATTTGTAAAATGCCCTTTATTCCCTTAATCGATTGGATGATTTAAGGATAATTGAAAATTGCTTGAGAAATGGAGCCGGTGTTTAAAACCAAAGCCATTTCCTTAAAAATGTGCCACATCAGCACCACACATGAAATTCTTTTTTTCATAAGTGTGGTATGAAAAAAAACTGTGTGACAGAACCAGCAAGGTATAAAAAAAAGGGAAAACGTTTTTTTATTTGAGAAAACGACATGTAAAAAACACCTCTCAAGAGAATTGGGATATGCTCCTCACATAGCCTCACACCCACCTCACAGGCACATACCACCGTGTATTGAGAGGGACGAGATCTACTCCTCACACGGGGGCGCCTCACTTGTACATCCACCGTGCATTGGAAACATTTCCCATGAATAATAACTTATAAATAGGGGTGGCAACGAGCCAAGCTTTTTACGAGCTGCTCAAGCTCGACTCGTGAAAGCTCGACTCGACTCGGTTTCAGCCGAGCTCAAGCTCAACTAAGTGGCTCGATTATTAAGCGAGTCGAGCTCGAATATATATAATAAAATTATAGAAAATAATATATATATATATATATATAATAAAAATGTTATAATTATTAATGATTATAATTCTTAATTTTTAAATATAAAATAAATTTTTTATATATAATTTTTATTTTTATAAAATATATAATAAATATTTTTATAAAATATAAAACGAGCTGAGCCAAGCTCAAGCTCAAGGTTTTGGCTCGAACCAAACTCGAGCCTTATAGAATAGTCTCCAGCCTGGTACTATTCGACTCAACTTGGCTTGAATCCACCCTTACTTATAAATAAGAGAGATGTTCTCAATGCTTAGTACGATGTGCATGTGAGGCGCGAGGAGCAGATCCGGTCATATTTCTCGAGTACGGAATATATGGTGAGATGATGTGCCTGTGAGGCGCACTGTGTAAGTAGCAGATCCGCTATCAAGAAATGGTTCCACTTCCAAGCTTGATAAGCGGGATCTTGGATATTCCCATTTCCCAACATGCTTCACGCTCTACGCTCCGTAAGGTCCGTAACGGTCCCTAATGAAATTTAAACAGAAGTAAGCTCCCGCTTAGCAGAAAGGGCATTTAAGTAAATTAATTTGAATAGCACGATTTCAAAAAGTGCTATACTGTTGGAATGTTGTTAGGGTTTTGATATCTGTAAAAGCCGTCCGCTTCGTTTCTCCACTTCAGGGAAAAAACATATAAAAGAACCATCTCTGAAACAGTCGTTTGTGGTTCAAGAAGAAGAGAGGTTTCGCTCTTCATCCTTATCTATATTTGGTTCTAATCAGGCCGACATTATCACACCCTTCAACATTCTTTATTTATTTTTTCCTTTAAGTTTTCAACCTCATAAACTATTACAAAGATATATTATTTTCTCAGTAGTTCTTTCTTTTAATTTTAAGTTGTTAACAAGCTTGGGTTCCACCGGCTTCTTCGTCCTGTTTTGAATAATTACAACTTTCTGGTTTTGCGTTTTATCTGCTTAATACATTAGAAAAAAATGAGCGCCACTGTCCAGAGAACGTCCAGATCGGGAACGCGATCGCTCCTTTTTCATGATTTAGCGTCTCCAATTTCTGCTCACGGAGGAAAATTCACGAGCCCGGGTCAGGCAGCTGCCGTCTCTGCTCTATGGCGGGAGAATTTTGGGGGCGCAGATCCTCCTCCACCTCCCATATTCACCTTGGAAGACCGTGCAGAGTTCTCTCCAGAAGCTGGGATGGCAGATTACTCGATATCTCCAGCAACCAAGTCAGAGATGAGAACTCCTGTCTGGGACTCTTGCCGTGACTCACTTTCTCCTTTGAAAAGCAAGCCCGAGGCGACCGCTTCTTATGCCCTCATGGGAGGGCAGCAAATACAACAAACTCCTACAAGTTCAAGCTGGTGGTCTCCAATAAAGAGCGGCAGTGAACACGATGAGAAGGGGAAAGGCTCACCTGTTGAGGGAGTGGTCCAGCCGGGTGCTTTAATTACGCTTCCTCCACCAAGGGAAGTCGCAAAGCCGGAGTTGCAGAATAATAGCTTAGCTGCGGGTAACCTCGACGAGGAGGAATGGGTGACTGTTTATGGGTATGAGTCATTCACTTTATTTTGTTTTGTTTTTACCGTTTCCTTGCACTCTCTACCCGGGACGATGATTCTAATTCTTCTATACGTTCTCTTCTACTTTGAGCATAGCTTCGATTGAGAATTTGACTGCATACAGATTATTTTGCGTATACTTTGGTATATATATTCCTTATTTCTGTTCAAACAATGCTTTGTTTGAAACTGTAAGATGAGTTATAGATATTTGGCATTCATTTATGATCACATAATCAATTTGATATGATTAGAATTAAGTAAAGGGAGAGAGAGAGCCGAGGGAGAGGAAGGAGAGGAGAAGAATTCTATGGTAGAAAAGCTGATGCCCTTTATTCACTCTCTTCAGGCTATATTTATAGCCTTATTGTGCTACAAACTAGGAAATAAAATAGGAACTAAAATAGGAACTGCTCACCCCTGGAGCTTATCGACTAAACTGCTCACCCCTGGAGCTTATCGACTAAAACAGACTAAGCTTATCTACTACTGGCTAAGGATAATGATGCTAAGAAACAACTTGACCGAGTCTCACACTGCCACTGCCACATAGTTCGTGCACGTATCATTCCCCCCCACTGAAGGATCCTTGTCCACAAGGAAGTCGAGATACGATTTGGTGAAGCGCCACTCATTTTCGCAGGTTGCGTCCTCAACTGGTGCTCCTACCCATTTCACCAAAATTTCAGATTTTGGACAGTATTTACCCATGTAGATAACACGACGATCTAAAATAGCTTCCGGTTGTGGAAGAATGGTCGAAGTATCCGAGATTGGGGGAAGTTGGGGTGATTGGTCCCAATTACTTCCGTAACAAACTGACATGGAACACATTATGGATTTGAGAGCCAAGAGGCAAGGCCAATCGGTAGACCACCAGACCCACTTTTTCAATGATTGGGTATGGCCCAAAGTAACGTGGGGCGAGCTTCATAGAGCGCCGAAAAGCCACAGAAGTTTGTCGGTAAGGCTGCAGTTTCACATACACATAATCACCCACGACGAATGAAGCCTCACGTCGGTGTTGGTTGGCTTGACATTTCATCCGATCCCGAGCTATCCAAAGGTTGTGTTGCAACTCACGTAGAATGATATCTCGATCACGCAGGTACTCATCTACTGCCCTGACGCGAGCAGTACCTGGTACATAAGCCAGTAGACTTGGGGGTGGGATACCGTAAACTGCTTCGAAGGGTGTCATCTTGGTGGAAGAGTGAGTGGATGTGTTGTAGCTATACTCCGCCCAAGGAATCCATTCGAGCCATTTCTGCGGCTGGTCATCGACAAAACATCGTAAACATTGTTCCAACGTTCGGTTAACGACTTCGGTCTGTCCGTCGGTTTGGGGGTGGTAACTTGAGCTCATACACAACTTCGTCCCATGCATTTGGAAAAGTGTTTGCCAAAATGAGCTGATAAACACCTTGTCGCAATCGCTAACAATTGACGTTGGAATTCCGTGTAGGCGGACAATGTTGGCGACAAATGCCTTAGCCGACAGTCCCGACGGTGAATGGGTGTTTTAAGGGTATGAAGTGGGCATATTTTGTCAACTGATCAACAATTACCATGATAACAGTATACCCATTGGAAGATGGTAACCCCTCGATAAAGTCCATCGAGACATCTGTCCACATTTGAGTGGGAGCTGGTAGCGGCTGAAGCAACCCCGCTGGCCTCATGCAATCTGTCTTGAAGCGCTGACATACATCACATTGTTGCAAGAATTCCTTCACCGCCCGACGCATGTTAGGCCAAAGGAAACTACGCTTGATACGAGAGAGGGTTTTATGGAATCCAAAGTGCCCACCTACGGGAGATGAATGGCAGTCGGCAATCACCTTTGAAATCAAGGTTGAGGCGGGGCTCAAATAAATTTTGTCCCCCTTGAACCACACTCCATCTCGTTGGAGCATTTTGTGGTTTGAACGGGAGGGCCATTTCTTCATCAATTCTTCATAAAATGCATCCTGTTTGACTTTTTTTTGCAGCATCGGCCACCAATCCGCATGTGGTATAGAGATTGACAGAATTTGGGATTCAACTATTTGAGACAAGGAATCCGCACCTTGATTTTCAACCCCTTTTTTATACTCAATCTCGTAGTCATAACCAAGTATCTTTGGCAGGCACCGTGTTTGTGCTGGTGTAGTTATCCGTTGCTCAAGTAGATACTTAAGGCTTTTTTGGTCGGTGCGGACTGTAAAGGATTTCCCAAGCAGATATGGGCGCCATTTCTTAATGGCCTTGACGATAGCTAACATCTCCTTCTCATAGGTGGATAGTGCCAAGGCCAAACCTTTCAGTGCTTCACTAAAATATGCCATCGGTCGATTTTGCTGGGTAAGGATTGCACCAATTCCAGTTCCACTCGCATCGCACTCAATCACGAATCGTTGAGAAAAATCCGAAAGACACAAAATTGGTGGTGAAGTTAGTGCTTTCTTCAACTGTTGAAAGGCCATCTTTGCTGTCTCGTTCCATTGAAACCCTCCCTTGGTCAAGAGTTGGGTCAAAGGAGCCGCCATGCTTCCAAAGTTACGGATAAACTTCCGGTAGTAACTTGCTAAACCGAGAAAACCACGGACCCCCTTTGTTGTGGTCGGTGTAGGCCACTCGATAATAGCTTGTATTTTGGTTGGATCGACTGACACACCTTGCTCTGAAATTATATGGCCCAAGTACTCGACCTGCGAAACACCAAATCGACATTTCGACATTTTTGCAAACAAATTGTTAGAGGACAATTTTTAGAACAATTCGCAAATGAGATATATGGTCTTCCCATGATTTCAAATACACCAGAATGTCATCGAAGAAGACCAAAATAAATTTCTGGAGGTATGGACGGAAGAGATCGTTCATGAGGCTTTGGAAGGTTGCAGGTGCATTCGTTAGGCTAAGTGGCATCACTATGAACTTTTAATGTCCTTCATGCGTCCGAAAGGCTGTTTTAGGAATGTCTTCTTCTCGCACTCGAATATGATGGTACCTAGACCGTAGATCCAGTTTGGAGTAAAATTTGGATCTGTGGAGCTCATCTAATAGTTCATCAATCACAGGATTTGGATACCTATCTTTGACTGTGATGTCGTTCAGTGCTTGATAGTCCACACAAAATCGCCAAGCACCATCAACCTTCTTCACTAACAGAACCGGTGACGAAAATGGGTTGTTGCTTGGTCTTATCAATCCTGATTGCAGAAGCTCCTTCACCATTTTCTCTATCTCCGTTTTCTGATAATATGGATATCGATACGGCCTCACACTAACTGGTCCCTTGTCGGGGAGGAGCGAAATTTGATGGTCATGTGGTCGTTTAGGAGGCAAGTTGGTGGGTGGCTCAAATACATGGGAAAACTCGGTTAGGAGGTGGTCCATCTCAGGTGGGTAGCAACTTGGTTGGTTGCTGCTATTGGAAGCGACTATTTGAAAAAAGAACCCAGTACCTTGTAATCCATTGCACTTCTTGTCAGTTAAGGCTTCGATGCTGGCTCGTCCCAATCCCTGGAGGGTGCAAGAGATTCCACCCTTCTTAAACGTCAAGGTCAGTTGTTTGTAATCCATCTCGATGGGTCCGAGAGTTTCTAGCCATTGCACTCCTAATACCAACTGGCATGCCATGACTGGAAGAACGTAGTAGTCGGCAGTAATGGAATGTCCTTGAATGACGAGGGTGAGAGCCCGACATTGCCCAACGCATTCTATCTTTTCTCGGTTGATGACCATGACTTGGAATTTCTTGTCTCGGCTCACTGGTAACCCAAACTTAGAGACTATGGCCTGATCAATGAAGTTGTGGGTGCTGCCGCCATCAATAGCACTGTCACACTCTTGTTTTTCAGCTTGCCTAGAACACGTATGGTTTGTGGGTATTTTGCTCCTGCAATTGCATGGAAGGAGATCTCAGGAATAGCTTCTTGGGTTTCTGCCTCTGGTTCGACATCCTCCATATCCACCTATACGGGATCCTCGATCATAAATACTTGTGGTCGTACACAACGGTGGCCTGGAGTGAACTTCTCATCACAATAATAACATAACCCCTTCTTGCGACGTTTCCGCGCCTCCTGGTTGGTGATTCGCCGGAATGTTACTGGTGGAGCACTGGGAACCTGGTTCGTGCGCTGGGTTGGTGGAGGCCCTAGCACACAAACTGTTGGATTAGGTGACACCCTCTATGTTATTATGGCTGGKTGGGAATGAACTTGCTGGTTTGATTTCCTTTGTAGTTGATTTCGTTCCTCAATTAGTCGAGCCACTCCGATCATATCTATCAAGGTTCTAGGCTGCTTAATCTTCACGTCTATGTGAATGTCATCACGAAGTCCTGCAATAAAATAGCCAATTAGAAAACTCTCGGGTAGGCCGTCAACTCGGTGGGAGAGTCTTTCAAAAGCTTCTTGATAAGCTGCCACAGTTGTGGTTTGCTTAAGGCGAGTTAAGGCTTCCGATGGGTCCTCGTAGTCGGTTGGACCAAATCGATGTAGCACAGCCTTGGAGAATTCTTCCCATGTGAGCGGTCCGCGATGTTTTGTCAACCACCTGTGCCATTGCAAGGCGATGCCTTCTAAATGGAAGGAAGCTAGTTGCACTCGTTGGTCCGATACAATATTTTGGAAATCAAAATATTGCTCTGCCTTGTAAATCCAGCTGCTTGGGTCATCCCCATTAAACTTTGGGAAAGACAATTTGATGTGTTGATGAGGGAGATCATGGGTGGAGCTGGAACGAGAAGGATGTTGGTGTGAAGACTCTTCATGTGTGAAGGGGTTGGTCTTGGGAGTGGTTCGTGTGGCTCGAAAGGCTTGGAGCTCGGTTAACACTGCTTGTAAGACAACGTTCACCTGATCGAAGCTTGACTCATGTCGTGCTAAGGTCTCGTTGACTTCATTGCGGAATTCTCGTTGGTTTTGCCGCGAGTGTCCATGGTCGGAACCGGCTCTGATACCAATGATATGATTAGAATTAAGTAAAGGGAGAGAGAGAGCCGAGGGAGAGGAAGGAGAGGAGAAGAATTATATGGTAGAAAAGCTTATGCCCTTTATTCACTCTCTTCGGGCTATATTTATAGCCTTATTGTGCTACAAACTAGGAAATAACATAGGAACTGCTCACCCCTGGAGCTTATCGACTAAAACAGACTAAGCTTATCTACTACTGGCTAACAGACTAAGCTTATCTACTACTGGCTAAGGATAAAGATGCTAAGAAACAACTTGACCGAGTCTCATGCTGCCACTGTCACATAGTTCATGCACGTATCACAATTATTCACCAAGATGCTACGGTACATTCATTTTTTTTCAACGCAAAATTTACTTATTTTCCTGTATTAAAACGAATGTTCTTTCATTTGGATTTGTCTTGTACCCTCTTCGGAGTTCTTTGCAACTCACAAGGTACAATTTTGTTCTTATTGGTGATTTTTCACTCATATCTATGGTTTGAGCATAAGTAGTAGTATTTTTTTTTTCGCCCAAATCCTCATGCGAGAAAATTCACAGCTTCATGAAAGTGAGAACAAGCCTTTGTTTTCAGTATGATATGATAATGTATAGCAGCATTTGAAACATCTGCATGTATGTGTTGCTTCTTCTACAGAAACATCTGCATTTTCTTCTAGTAATATCATATTTCGTACTGCCCTTTTCCAGATTCTCTCCTGGGGACACTAACTTGGTATTGCGTGAATTTGAGAAGTGTGGTGTAATATTGAAACATGTCCCTGGTCCAGGAGATGCTAATTGGATCCATATTCTATATCAGGTTCTTTTTCTCGTTCTTGATTTGATATTTTAATGTTCTTTTTTATGAGTATATTTTAATGCTATTCTTTAGTTCTTCGTATGTCTTACCCTTGATTTTATCTTATATTGTTGTCCATTTATAGTTATTGTAATTTTTTTCAATGACATTATGAAAACATGTAAATGAGATAAAAGGTCAAGAAAAATGATGGCTCTACCTATTGTCATGCACATAAAATTGTTTCAGTTGGAACCATGTTGGGTCATGAACTCATGATACGGGGTTTCTATGAGCACTACAGGCAGAATTCCAGGTATCTATGGGCGCCTCTAAATTATTATGGGCCCGAGTTAGTATACCTCCTAAGAGAGGTTTCAGCATAATCAGGTTATATGTTGCATGCTTTTAGGTAACAAAAGGCACTTTATCAAGCAAAAGAAGACAAAGGCAGTTAATTAAGCGAAGGAAGACAAAGGTACTTAAGTTTTGTTTGGTATCATTACTGTTTCTACCTGAAACATTTTGTGTTGATCAATACAAATTGGCATACCACTGTTATTTGAGGCTATTTATAGTTGAAACAGACATACCTTAAAAATGCATGTGTGGGAGGCTGTTTGTAGAAATGTCAAATTGACATTTCAGGTAGAAACAACAACTATTACTAATCATTCTGGCTGAAGTGACTCCCAAATATAATGTGACAATGGTACATTACACATCTCTCACTAATTTGTATTGATCGACCGAAAACGTTTTAGGTAGAAACAGCAATGGAACCAAACACAACTTTAATCAAGCAAAAGAATGACTCTTTGTTGGGTTTTAAAAATCTTTTTTTAGGCTATTTTTTATGAAATGGGGTTTATCCATGGACGGGGTGTATCATATATGATCATCAAATGATATTTATGTATCTATTTCTATTACTTTGCTTATTTTCTGTCCAAGTTGTGGCTTTTATATTAGTAAACCGTCTGCAAATTTTACAGTGTAAATGAGGTAAACTCTACACATTTACTTGGGCTCAGTTTGGAAAGAGTACAAATACAAATTTGTAGAGTGCAAAAACCTTATATTTTGCATTATTTTGTATGTTTTTGCATTGTACATTTTTGTATTTGTACTCTTACCAAATGGAGCCTTATGCTCAATTTCTTTGCAGTGCAAATGTTATTTGCACTAGTGTAAAGGCATGGTAGTGCAAATAGGTTGAGCGTATGCTGCTTTATTTTTGCTTCATATTTGACTTTATTTGTTTGTGAAAAGTAAAATAGGAAGTAAAATGTAGTCCTTGCCTTGTATGAAAGAGAGTGAAGGTAGGAGGAGGGTTATTTGTTTGAGTGAGACAATAAGCAAGATGATGTGGCTCCCATTTATATGAGAAAGGATCTAGGAAGAAAGTGGTGCAAATTTTTGCATCAGTTTGCAAAATTTACACTGCTAGTCATGCAAATGAGATAAAAAGTACACATTTTGTGTGAGGTAAGAGTCACAGTTACAAACAAACAAATGCAAAACCGAACCAGATGCAAATTTTGTGTCCAATTTAGAGTTGCACTTCAAACAAGCAGCCTTAATGGTTGTTAGTACTTGATTTATTCCTGGAGTTGCTGCTGTACTATGTGGATTACGACTACTTGGCGGATGATTTTGACATTATAAGACTTATTTTCTTGCCTTTGTGCTTTATTGTAGAACCGCTCTGATGCTCAGAAAGCCCTCAACAAAAATGGATTGCAGATAAATGGAGTGCTCATCATTGGAGTGAAACCTTTGGACCCAATCCAACGGCAAGCCCTGAATGAAAGGCTTAACAACCAAGGCTTCATGACTTTGCCCCCTCCATCTAGTAGGAGCTCCGAGCTGATCTTGTCTAGAGTCTCCTCTGGTCCCTATTATGTTCAGAACCATGATAGCAATACTCAGCGTTCAGTTAGTGCCATTGCTTCTCCTGCAAAATCTGTTGTCTCCAAAGTCATGGATTTGATGTTTGGCATTTGAATTGAGTTGTTTCACTGGCCGGATGTCCCAGTGTTGGATATGTATCATTGCCCATCTCTGAAATGACTCAAATTCAACTTCTGTTGATTATTTCTATTAGCGGCCAATTTGTTACTTCTCCATATGTTTTGGTCTCACATAGTAAAAGCACAGCAGCAGTAATGTGCTTGTATTTCTTGTCTCTGTGTGTATGTTTTCTGTGGGGACTGGGGTTATAGAAATTGGAAAGTAATGTTGCATAGTTGTTGGTGCTTACTGCTTAGGGTTTTTGGAATTGCAAAATAAATATATATCAAAGAGTGTTCAATGTGGTGTTACAATTTAATGCAAAACCAATTGATGAGTTGCCTCCTCTATTAGAACTTAGAAGTTGGCCCATTTTACTCTTAGGCCATGTTTGATTTGAAGGAAAAGGTAGGGAAAGGAAGGGAAAGACAGGGAAACCAATACAAGGTTTGTAAAGGTTTCCCTACCTTTCCTTTCCTTTCCCTACATTTTTCTTCAAACCAAACATAACATTAAGGCTATGTTCAGTTTGATAGAAAATAAAAGAAACAGAAAGTTGAGACTTGAGTTAAGGAATTTAAATATAAAACAATTCCTTTAAGTATAAAACAATTTACGATTACCCAATAAATAAAAGTATAAAACAATTCAAATAGGAATTTAAGAATTTTATTTCATTTAAATTTGAATGAATAATGATACAAGTTACAAAGCATACAAATATTGAAATTATGAAATATACAATGGTTGGATACTTCATACTTTATACTTGGATGAATGAAATAAATTAATAAAATATAAAAAATACAATATAGTTACAAACTGAAATACAAAATTACATTAATAGCAAATAAATTAAATAAAATTAAAACAAAATTTACAATAATTTGAAAAAAAAATAAAAATTTGTGGGTTATTTGTTAAAATTTACAATTTAAACAAAATTTACATATACATTATGATGAAAGCATTCACACACACTTTCATCATCTACTTCAGGTGAAAAATGAAATATCCGGTGTATGTAGTAGTATCATGCCCTCCTTTGTCTTGTAATTGTAGAGTTGTAATCTATATTTTGCATCATGATTCATGATTGCATCTAGCCAACCTTGGTACAATGGTACCTACAGATTTTGCACTAAAACAACTAAACAAGACTTCGATGGAATTATAGCCTGTAGACACCGGAGGGGTTAGTAAATCACGGATCACGTGCCATGGTGGGATTAGCGACGAGAAATGTTCTCCGAATTCTCCCAATATTTTTAAAATTTATTTTCAATTATTTCAAAAATTCATTTAAATTTTCTTCCTTCTCATGTGTGAGAAAATGTTTGGTCAAATGGCCAGTACCACCATTGCTACAATAGCTAAAGTCTTTTCTACATTTTTGGCAAATTGCTCTTTTCCCCTTCCCCTCAGCATCCTCTATTTTAAATATTCTCCAAATTGGGCTACTAAACTTAGGGTTTTGGGAAGAGTTAGCCATTTTTTTTTAAATTCTAAAAGAATAAAATTAATTTAGTTGGACTTACCCCGGATTGCCGGTTTAGAATCCCAACTTGATTTCAACGGTTAAAGCCTTTCAGCGTGACAACGTCTAAGGCTCCAAGCCTCCCAAATTGCAAACTCGGAGAATCAGACAATCAACCAATCAAATTATGAGACTATCAAAATTCACTAAGATTGTAGAGAATGTATGAGAGACAGAGACTCTGAGAGAGTGAGAGACTAAGAGAGGGAATGAAGACCGAAGAGTGAAGAGATTAAGAGAACAACTTAATAAGAGAATTGTTGAATGTTGATTGTTGAATTGGTGTGATGAGAAGAATGGTGGAGGAGAGGGCTATTTATAGGAATTGAAAATAATTCAATTGCCCAAAATACCCTAAAAACTAAATGTTTTTAGTTGTTGGGAGGGGTATTTTGGTCATTGTAAAGTTATTTATAACTTTATCCAAAAAGCCCCATAAACTAGTTGTTATATAATAGCTATTGGGGGGCATTTGTGTCATTTTCTCCCCTCCATAAGCAAAATACATAAATACCCCCTATATAACTGTAAGGGGGTATTTATGTAAAAAAACCCCCAAAAAGCTGAAACTAGCATTTGGGGGGTGGCCAACGGCTAGTTTTCGGATGAGCCTTGCGCAACCCGCTATGGGCCCTGCATGTCGGGCCATGTTGCGGGCCGTGTCGAGCAGCGGCCTGGCCCGATTTACACCTCTAGTTACATCAACCTAAATGGAGGTTACTCTGTTTTTTGGTTTGTTGCAATGGGAGATTTACTAGAAAGGTACAGAGAGAGAGAGAGAGAGAGAGAGAAGGAGATTGATCAAAGATTTCTTTTCTCTCAAAATTTGAGACAACTATCGTTGGCGACGGTTGCTCGTGTTCTCACCTTTTTTAGTTTTCTCCATTTAGAATTTGAGAGACGACCATTGATGACAATAGTTGTTTGTGTTCTTGCCGGTTTGGTTTTTTTTGATTAGAATCAGAGATTTCTTTTCAAACCCAATAGAGAGGGCATTGACCAGTGAACGCTTATGTTCTTGCCGATTTTAGTTTTTAGGTTATTGATTCTCTTGACTGTTTTTTCATGACGTCGGAACCCTTGCCCTATATTTGGAAGGATTTCTTCAAGGAGAAAAGTATGATAGGACAGAAGCCTAGAGAAAGAAGTTTCATCGATTTTAAAAGAGATGGAGTTTTATATCAATTTTATCAATGTGAACTTTTCACCAATTTTTGAGGAAAATACTTACAAGGATGGATTTTTACACCGATTTACTAGGTGTATTAACACCTCTACCAAACGCTTACAAAATTAGACCAGAGTGTGTAGTTTACCCTAGTTCTCATTTACACCTCAAACAAACGTGTCCTAAACGGTTTTATTTGTACTGATTAACATTGCTTAGGCTCCATTTGGAAACAATGCAAATACAAAATTGTTCAATGCAAATACAAACACGTATGGTTTATAAAAATGCAAGTTCAAAAGTTGGTTTAGTTTTTCACTGATAAATTTGTATTCTTGTCAAATGATTTTTAATTGTGACGGATACAAATACATTTTTGGAATATACAAATACATTTTTATCAAATGCTTACAAAACTGAACCAGTGTACATAAGCATTGAATTAGTGTTTGCATTTTTTTACATTGAGCTTTAGTGATTTTTGATTCTCAATGGTGCATGGTTTCCAAATGCTTTGTTAGTCTTTCACCGTGTCATGGATGGGCATTCTTCAGCCGAAAAGAAATTATTGTCACATCAGCAAGATTAAGGACAGGCAACAAATGCCTATTGATTGAACCTTTGGTTTTCTTTCAACTTTGAACTTTGATGTGGTAAAAAAGTGATTTAAAAACTTACAATTTGACAGTAATAGTGATAAAAATATGAGTTAAGAGTTATGGATTATTCGTTTGCTTTGACATATTTGAAAGTGCAATAATTACGTTAAAAGGTATATTGGTATTGATGAACTTTTCTTTCTTATTAACTCTGAATGTTGTTCTGAATTTTAAATTTTGGAAACTTTTATATATCCATTTTAGCTCCATATATGGGAATTTTTGTTTGTTTTTTGGAGTACCATTGGAAAATAAAAAGTAAACAAACATCCATTTTCCTCTTAAAATTTCAAGATTCCTCTTAAGAGATAAGAGTTAAGAGGAATTGAACATAAATTAAAGAAATAAGAGTTAGAGTTTTTCACTTTTTAAGTCAACAAGTGATAGTGATAAAAGTAACGGAAATTAAAGAAAAAAGATTAAAAAAATGCAATAACTACATATTATTAAACCAACAAAATCTCCAACATGGGAATGGCATAAAATGTATTAAAACATATTAGTCTAGTAATTAAACACTCTGCAAACATGTTAATCTAGTAATCAGTAAATACTAATTATGGGGTTTTAAGAATCATAATTAAGAAACTTTGTTCTTTACTCTTATAATCTCTTGAAAGAAAAAGAAAATCCACTAGAAAAGCATTTAAATAGTAAATGCAGCATTTGGCATGGGCTTTGGTGATCTATCTTCACTTCAAACGCACTATAAGAGCCAGAAGTCCATGGGCTTTTGAGGAGAAATCGTGAAGTGTACATAGATTGAACAGTTAGGTTGTGTTTAGAATGGTGTAAAAGTACATCGATGACGTAAAAGTGTAAACTTTTATATCAATTTTATTAAGCGTGACGAGGAAGTGACTGTTAACAATTCTCCACATCAATAAACATAAATTAATTTGGTACAAAGTTAATCATGAGTTAATTACCTCATAAGGAAATCCTTGTCCAGCTTACTACACATTCTTATGGACGAGAAGACAATGGAGGCAACGAGAGTGGAAATATGAACGCAAAGATGAGAATGCCCGTGCTTGACTGAGTAGACCTGTTCATGGGCCGGGTGGCCCGATGGGCCGGCCCGCCTCCCGAATGGGCTTGAACAGGTTTTTTGGCCCACGGGCTTAACCTCGAGCCAAAAAGCCTGACCCGCATAAAATTCGAGCCAGGTTCGGGCTTTGCCAAAATAGCCCAGCCTGACCTATAGTTAAACCTAAGTAAAAATCCTATGTGATGTTCATTTGAATAATTTTTTTGATTTAAGAAGGTTGTTGATTCACTTGTAGGCCCATTGTTCATTTAAATAGGGGAAAAAACGTCTAAATTAAAATAGATAATGTACATTTGAATAGGGAAACATTCGAATTTCTTTTATTAGGTCAGGCTTTGGGCTTTCTATCAAGGTCGGGCTCGGGCCCAAGTTGTAGGCCCATTGGTCGGGCCGGGCTCGGGCCTAACATTTTTCTGTTAATAAAAAGTAAAAGCCCGGCCCAGCCCAGCCCATGAACAAGTCTACTAATGAGAGAGAGAGAGAAACGGAGCAGACAGAAAATGGAGGAGAGAGACGTTAGGGTGAGAGGAGTTTTACTTTAATGATAGAAGCCTATGAATTCTACATCGATAATTTTGATGTATATTTTACATCGATTATCATTGTAAAGAGATTCAAAATAAAGTTTTATACTGATTTATGGTGTAAAATTACACTTTTTCCAAACAAAGAACCGGGGTATAAAGTTTACTTTGGTTTGATTTTTTAGCTCAAACAAATCAGCCATATATTTGACGAGGTTTTATATCAATTCACGATGTAAAACTCTACTCTATCCAAACAAACACCGATAAAATCAATCCGGCATAAAACTTTTCACCGTACTTAATTTACAAAGTTTCCAAACGCAGCCTTGATGCATGTAATGATGTAACAGTCTAAGGCACATTGGTTGGGTTGGGTTCGAATTAGGTCAAATCCATCCCGAAATAGCAGATTCGTTGAAAATGCATGTATTACGGGATGTTAAAAAATTGGATCGACGGCCCAGGCCCGAGTCATGTCCAGGCATCTACGTGTCTTGGGCCTCTTGGCTACTAATTGAACCGCCTATGAGGCTATGACAGTCACCGTCACGTTAGAACTTTCGACACGTTGAAACAGAATCATTTCGCTCGCGCTTTTTCCTCGTTCCAACTCCAGTCGTTGCTTCCGCGGTTCCACCCCTCCACGAGCGTGCGCTCCGAGCAAAATAGCCGACCACACTGTCCCTCCTTTTCAAGGCTTCAACTGTTAGGGATCCGTAGTTCCATAGTTTCTGAGATATTCTTTTTAGGGTTTAGTTCTGTTTCAATGGAAGATCAATCCTCACGAATTCCAGGAGAGAACAACGGAGCTTCCGAAGGAGGGAATGTCGAAGAAAATTCTCTTTCTTATCTCGATCTCACCAGCTACCAGCTCCACGACCTCGATGGAATCGAGCTTCCTCCGAGCTTAATCGAGTTGGATTTAACGACCAATCGTTTATCCACGCTGGATCCTCGAATTGCCCTCCTCGCGCAGCTAAAGAAGCTCTCTCTGCGGCAAAATCTATTTGACGATGCTGGAATCGAGCCCATTTCTCGGTGGGATTCCATATCGGGACTTCAAGTACTTACTCTCACCTTTGTCTCTCATTGTTTTCCTTTTCTTAATGACATTAACAGTTTTTCGAAGCTTAATCCTTTAATTTAACTCATTTATATGAAGGGAAAATAAATTGATTTTGCATTTTGAATGATTTGCTTCTTTTTAAACATGGAGTTTATAGAAGAGCCTCCTCCGCTCCCCTCCACTTTATGTTATTTGTAGCGTCGCATATAGTTATATTATTCCGAAACGGCCTGGTTTTGCAGGAATTGGTCCTCAGGGACAACAGACTTACGAAGATACCTGATGCCAGTATTTTCAAGAGCCTTTTGGTATTCGATATTTCTTTCAATGAGATACCTTCCTTAAATGGTTTGTCAAAGGTCTCGAACACACTCAAGGAACTCTATGTTTCTAAGAATGAAGTGACTAAGATAGAGGAGCTCGACCACTTCCATGAACTACAAATTCTTGAGCTGGGTTCTAACAGATTAAGGGTTAGCATTCTGCTCTCTCCAAAAATTACACTGTTACAAAACTGATAACTTTATTGATTCCCAAATTGATTTTAGTTGTGTAGAATTTGAGATGTTTAAGCCAAATGATTAAATATTCACTTTGGTCGCAGGTAATGGAGAATTTGCAGAACCTAACACATTTGCAAGAGCTGTGGCTGGGGCGCAATCGTATCCGAACAGTAAACCTATGTGGTCTAAGATGTATCAAGAAGCTTAGCTTGCAGAGCAACCGCTTGACATCTATGCTTGGATTTCAGGTATTAGGTTGTTCAACGTTGTGTTGTTTTTTTGGAAATGCTAAAGAAAGGCATAAGTTTGTGTTAACAACTATAAATGCATTCTTTTCTTCACCGTTTCCAGGATTGTGTTGCTTTAGAAGAGCTGTACTTGAGTCATAATGGTATTTCAAAGATGGAGGGGTTATCCACCTTGGCGAATCTGCATGTTCTGGATGTTTCATCAAATAAGTTAACGACCATAAATGACATTGAAAACCTAACAAGGTAGACATAGATATCTTCCTTAGATTTGGTTGGCCTCTCTTTATTTTTACTAATATCAGAGGTTTATTTTGCAGATTGGAGGATCTTTGGCTCAATGACAACCAAATAGCTTCACTGGAAGGCATTGACAGTGCTGTTGCAGGTTCAAGGGAAAAGCTTACGACCATTTATCTGGAGAACAACCCATGTGTATGGTTCTTGTGATCTCTAAGACTGTTATTGTCCCTTAATTTCAAAATGCTAATTGCTTCTACATGCTGACTAATTCCAATCTGCCATGCCACATTCTAGGTTGGAAGGTCATACTTATTTCTTTCAAAATCTACTTGAATGTACAAGTGTAACTCAGGCAATGTGGGTCAGGTTGTGGTCCAATAGGGGGTGAAACCTGGGAACTGGACCCAAGAATTAGCCTGAGTAGCTCAACCTGACTTCTTCCAGAATCTGACTCACTTGGTAGCTCAACCTAACCTAACCTGGGTTGGGTTGCACTAAATAAAGCACCGGGTATTGAGCTTTGTTTGCTCCAACTGCCTGACTGTAATTAGGTTGTAATCTATTTTAGATCCATATCCTGATCCATTCAATCCAATATCTTCAAGTCCAATTTCACTGTGTTGTCCAAGTCTTTTTTCTGATCTCCTAGCTATGTTACATGAATACTGGTACCAACATTTGGAATCTGACATGGGTATGGGGTTTCAGACTTGGTAAAAGGCCATTACTGATCTGACAACAAGAAGAGACCTCTCAAGTGTTGTGTCAATACCAATGTCAAAGAAATGTCTGACATGTATGCTACCAATTTTGATGTGCCCATGTACCATAACCTTCTAGCTATTTGGAATTTCAACCTACACTAGATCACTTCTTGTGCTAATATTTTCATTTACCATCATTGTATATGCCCAAACCATCAGAATCATCTATTTCTTATTTGATTACCTATGGTTGCTCCATCCCGTTAAGAATTTGTTTTCTAACGTTTAACTCATCCATTCATTCTGTGAGCATGTTCTTGATTGTCATCCATTCATACCATCGTTTGCCATCGTTCTCCTTAGGTATTGCATGATTACAGATTTACATAGCTTGCCTATAATATGGCTTACAGAAAGCCTATGATGTAGTACAATCCTTCAAAAATGAATCGCAACTAAGGTCAACTTCAACCCTGGGGACTTGTATTCTTGAATAGAAATTAAGTCAAAGAGTTTCGAGGAAATAGGATAAAAGAATGCAATAGAGTTCAGGGCCCTTTGGGATTGGAGGAGTCTTCAGGAATGAGGAAGGGATTGTTATTGCTTTATTCTCTGGCCCTATTGGAGAATGTGACACTCTTAGGGCTAAGATCTTTGCAGTGCTTGAAGGAATTCGAAGAGCAAAGGAATTCAATATCAGCCGTTTGATCCTGGAAGGTGATTTGAAGGTGGTGGTTAGTTGGTTGAAGACAGAGGACAGTGGTTTGTGGAACTTTAACAATGAAAAAAAACAGTTCTTATGGGCTGGGTAGGGACATTGAGATTCAGTACAGCTGGGTGAAGAGGAGTGCCAACTCATTTGCAGATGGGTTGGCCAAGCAAGGAGTGARTAGGGAGTCTGTWTTTTGGGCTAGTTTTTAATCTTTTCTCTTTGCACTCCCTTTGTTTTCTGTTTTTGGGGAGCTAAGATATTTTATCTCCCCTCTTGTATCCATATTCCCTCTTTTCTTTTAATTTAATGAAGCTGGTGTTATTGATCAAAAAAAAAAAAAAAARAATGCAATAGAGTTCTAATCTTCTATAGAGTAGCTTTTAGGTACTGCATATTATCTTAAGGAACTTGTAGCAAGCACTAAGAAAATGACAAGGAACAAAAGAAATTGCTATTAAGGTTGTACAGAGGGGGATCCACATCATTCCAGGATCCTATGTGCCAAAGGAAAAGCTAATGAGGTAAGGGATATATAGGTATAACCATGAAGTGATGTTTGTTGGAATGGTTGGTTTTACTGGTATCCTTATTCAAATTGGCCATTATCATGGTTATATTGGTATGACATCAATCCTTGTTATCTTTTTATAATCAAGTCTTGTTGATATAGTTCAGTTTTACTTGGTTTTAGTGTCTTATTAGGGAATTGTTAGATTTATGGATGTTGAAATTCTAAGTTGGTTATTTTTTCTTGTGACTTGATTTTAGGAGGTCAAAATTTGTTCAGTTTGTAGAACTGATGTGATTTGTCCAATTTGTAGAACCCAACAAGATCAAGATTTTGCAGACTGCAGAACTGATGTGATTTAGGAAAATTAGTGCTATCTTACTAATAGAGTCAGAAGTCATACGGTCTTGTTTCCCCTTTTAACTTTGCATTTCTTTTTTATTACTTTGTTCAAATAGCACAATCATATTTCAGTAAATTGCTTCTGCATTCGGTTACACAGAACAAAGGAAAACAAACTATTTGGAGAATAATGACTTGTGGAAAATTAGAAGGTACACCATTTTTCTTACAATTAGTACTCACTTTTTGGAATATGTTTGTTTTCCACAGCCATTTTTATGTGCAGTCAAGCACAATACAAAACAATTTTCAAGAAATCATTCATTTTGCTTCAATTTTTTTTTGGTAATTCATGTTCCTTCATTGAACGTGCAACCAAAAGAAACCTAAAACATGGGGCTGTCACTCTGAAAACAAGGGGCTGTAAGGTGTGAATTTGTGTATCAACATTTCAGAATTGACATTGTAGATCATGCACCGGCAGCAATGAGATGCAAGTGCCACGTGCCAATTTAATCATTGACCATCCATACATATCAAGGGTCTTTCAATGAATTCATTCTACACTCTTAACGGTATAGTTACCTCTGTTTTGCAGGCAACTACTTCAAATTACTCTGCTACCCTTCGGCACATCTTCCCAAATCTTCAGCAGATTGATTCAGACATATTCTCCTAGGAGTCTTAGTGGCTCCCTTATTAATATTCAGAGGAAAGGATGCCATATGCTTTAAAAACCTTGAAGAAAAATTGGTCAACATGATGCAAGATGGTAACAGCTCCTCTATCATTCCCTGTGCATTCCTTCAGTGATTTCTGCCCTTAAGGTTCTATTCATTTTATCCCATGTTTTTCTGTGTGACGTCGTGCTTTTTGATCTGCCTTGCAGTGCAAATGATGAAGTTAATTTATGTGATGGCTTTATAAAGGTCAGTTCAGTTGGTTCCTCGAAGATCTGTTCCTCAAAAGAGATCAGATCAGGGCCAACCATAGGACAATGACTATGATCGTATGCAAGTTTACCAATTACATCTGTCACAATAAATTAAAATACTAGACTTTTAAACTCTCACGTCCTTTCTTGCTCCCCCTTTTACCCTTCGATCCTGCTTTTCTTTCTTTGCATGAGTATTGGGTGTGGGGTTTTAATTGTTTTCTGCAACTGGATCAGGAGTGGGAATATTTGGCAAAGTCTGACAAATTGTGATTTGTTATATTTATCCCTTTTAAGCATTTTCTTTTGCACATGGTATATAAATAATTCTCGATCCATTTTACTCTACTCTATATTAGAAGAATTGTAATATTGTTGGTAACATCCCTTTTTCAACAAACCTGGACTCTTAATTAACAGTGGAAATTAGAAAGTATCTTTTGTAGAAAACTAACGGGTAGTTGATCTTTTATAGACAGGCTTTATCTTTGGTTTGTGATGGTCCTTCACCGGCCATGGGGATTCGTTATTTACCCGGAAGAGCCGTTGTGACGTTTTAGCCTTTTAGACCGATTTGTATTTTCTGTGTATTTTGAGGAGTGAGGACTGCGGGTCCTGGATGGCCTGGTTCTGTCTCTCTCTCTCTCTCTCTCTGCATGCCACTCAACTATCTCGCAGGAAAAATTGAGAAGCAAAATCTGAATCATTTTTTTTCTTTTTTAATCAATTTATATTGCGGGTTTGAGAGTCGAGAACATTAAAGGCCAAGCAGAGAATGGCCGTTGATCTTAATTCTCCAGTATGATATAGTTGCAATCATGAATTCAAGTCATCAATCAAAGGTGTTAGGGTTACTGTTTTGAAACATGGATTGTAACCAACCATGAATCTGTAAGTAAGCTACCAACTTAATGAGGTTGCATCTTCGTTGGGAGACTGGATTCAGTCTTTCACAAAATTTGACCTCACAACACTTAATTTATCTCTGCATTTATATTTTTTTTCATGGGTTCAACTATGGGAAAGATATCATATCTGAAAAACTTCTAACCAGTTAACTGGAATCATAAACTTAGCCAACCAGGTGTTATTTATCAAAATTCATTGGTGGGTTTTGATTGGTCAAAACTCTTTTCATATCATATCTTTTCTATATCATAGATTTTCTATTTTTTTATTCATGAGGAAAATGCTTTAAAATCCAAATGCACGGGTGTAAGTGTTGTGAGGACAAATTTTGTGAGGGCCGAATCCGGATTCCTTTCACTAGATAGCTCATCTTTGGGCTACCTTTTAAGTGGGAACTATGAGAGCTTTGTGGTCCCACGAAGTTGGTGGTGAGCCACCTAAGGAAAACCAATTGATTGGCCTGAATTGAGAGAATTCTTACAGGTGTTTACATTTTGGGACTACAGTGATTAGGGTGTCGTGTAGCTCCTTCAAAAGCTTTTCAAGAGTCGAAAACTCCTTAACCGTAAGAATCACACCAGGGACCATCTCTTGTCAATAATTTTGAAAGACGAAATTGGGCAATCCATATGTGTTGGCAGAAAGCTTGGTGATCTCATTTTCACTAACCTGAGTAACATTTTTCAAGTCTTGATGCTTGTGCTTGGGACAACTTGGGTTTGATGCTATCTACAAATTCATGACCATTTATAGGGATGCCACTGCTCAAAAGAGAAATATTGCTATCTGTGTTTATTCTTTATTTGGAGTAAGCAGCTGATTTCTCAGCTTGCTCCCTTTGGAATAGCCTCGAGCTAAAACCATGAATCAAAGTCTTGATGTATTGATGTGGCCTACCTTGAATTGGATAAAATGATATAAGATGGGGTCATAGAAGGCTGCTTATGAGCTTATAACACATAGAAGCTCAAAACTCTCCTTCTCCACTTGCCACGTGGCTGAAAAGGGCTTCTCACCAAACAAACGTCTAAAACATTTGGTCCCGCCAGATAGAAAACCTGATAAGCCAAACTCCTTTCATGATAGATCATAGATCCAAACACGAATGAAGGTAGCACAGCTGCACAGACACAGAATATTGTTTTTCCTCTCCAACCATTAGCGAGAGATGGCAAGAGAGGCTTTGACACGGATCTTGAGATTGATTAATGGGCCCAGCCCATTTAATTTCTGGTTCAACGGTCGGTGGTAGACATCGGCGCTGATGCTTCAACCTCGACTCGTTAAGTCGTTAGTACTTTAGTCGTTATAAAGACACTGCTGCGCGATGCTGTCTTATCCTCCCGGCTCCCGCCACTCCTACCATTCTCACGTCGATCCCTACCAATCCACCGTGGTAAGGTTGCTACTTGGTACTAGTTACTTACCGCCAATAGACAACGCATTTGTTCTTTTTCGCCGGAAAAATGGAGGCTGCTGCGACATCCACTGATTCCGGCAATCTATCCCAAAAGATCGTGGCGGTAGCCGCCGGAGAAGCTCATACTCTCGCTCTCACCGGTATTCTGTTTTCTATGAAATCGATTTTTTCTGTTATAAATTCCAAATTCCAAATTTTGTTTGATAACGATTTTGGGTGTCTGGGATTTTGGCATTACAGGAGATGGTAGTGTATATTCATGCGGAAGAGGAACTTTCGGTCGGCTAGGGACTGGGAAAGAAACCGACGAGCTACTCCCAGTTCGAGTCGACTTTGATTTGTCCAATAAAAAGAGAGCTTTTCACGAGAAACCTGAACAAGAAAAGCCCAAGTTTGTAGATATCGCAGCGGGTGCTTATCACAGTCTCGCATTAGAAGGTTTAGTGCTCTGCCTTCTTCCCCTCTCCAACTTTCGCTTGTATTTAGTATCCTTAGTAAACAATTGTTATTGTGCATTCATTGCTATGTTCTTAAAAATGACCCGGTGATTTGGTATACCGTTCAAATTGACCATCACGTTTGTATGGGAGATTGCGCAGGTTGTACCTGTTGATCAAGGATCAAATTGTATCATTCAAGCATGGATGTCATCTGATTATTGACACATATTTGACAAAATGCTAGCTATAGAATGCTTTGATCGAATTATTATGATTGTGGGATTGATCCAAGTTGATGGATGTGCGGAGCCAAGTAGTGGCCTGTTGACTAGATCCCATTAGACAAAGTCAATGATGGGCTTTACTCAGTGCTCATCTAGTCTTCTCTACCATCACATGTTCATTAATTCGATTGTGATCTTGAATCCTTTTTTTTTTTTGGTAGCATGTGCATTTTGTTTCTTTGAATCTCACTTATTAGATAAAATTATTTTGTTACAGTTTTCACTTTTTTTTCACTTGTAGTTGTTAGGTGGTATTTTTTTGTTGGGAATGATTTACAAATTGTGGTTCAGTTTCATATTCTTCTTCAATAGATTTCTTGTATCATTACTTAATTCCTGTATTAATGTACTCTGTTGATTTTATTATCCCCTTCTGTTGTGATTAAAGAGGCTCACCATAAATGTGAGTTCCTATTTTTTTGGTCCATGGGGTTACACAACTGGGAGTAGTACATCCACCCCAACCCTGGTGAACGTGGGATTCAATCCCAAATCTCTGCTACAACCAGCCAGAGACCTTACCAACTGAGCCAGTCAGCAGCACCATGATCTGTGAACTAAGGGATTCATGCTAATACAGTTGGAATGTAGATTGTCATTTGATTCAAATTAGAGAGTACTATAAGGGTTCTTTATGTGGATGGCTTCAGTTAATAACTCTCCTTTCTTTTTCATCACATATCCTTTTCATGGTCATTTTTATTTCAATGGTTCTACTTTTTTACTCTACTGTTTTTCTTTTTCTTGAGTAATAAGTTGATACCATGGCATAAAGTGGGATGGCTTGTTCCCTAGATCAGGCATGTTTCTTAATTCTTATGAATATAAATAAAAGGAAGTTATAAACATCTTAAGGATAAATAACATGGAGCGGAGATAAATCTATATCCTTATGTGCTTGATGGAAATCTCATCATGGAGCTTCCAAATTCTATTTCCTTTTAGACTTCAGTTGGGATGAAGTTCAAAAAATAAAGCAGAGCAAGTCAACTGCACTTTAAAGAGTTATATATATTTTCTTCACTTCTTTTTAATCAATTAATTAACCAATTAAGTTAAGACAAAAAAACACTATTAGAAGTAGAATGGAGAAAAATAGCATAGATGGAATGAATCCTACACCAATTATCACTTAAAAATATTTACTTTAATTTAATTCAGTTTTCTATTTAGTGAATTGGAAAACTGCTTGCAAGCCCAAAAAAGAAGGTGGGCTAGGCTTGGGGCACATCTCAGAAAGAAATCAAGCTCTTCTTGGGAAGTGGCTTTGGAGGTTCAAGATGGAATGAAACTCTCTATGGGCCTCAATCATCTGCCGAAAATATGGTAGAATCAATTGGGGATGGGGCAAATCTCTTCCTTTACTAGATCATTCCTTTCGAAATCCTTGGAAAGGTAAGGTATTCTATAATCCTTTGCTTCTTTTTCTCCCCTTCTTAGTCTGAAAGTTGGAAATGGGAATACCATTAAATTTTGGACAGATCTTTGGTGGGGAAATAAACCTCTCTGTGATCCCATCTCTTTTTAGGTTAGTGTGTAATAAACAAGCTTTCATTTCTGCAACCTTGATAAGAGGATCAGAGGGTCTCTCCTTCAATTTCAACTTCTGTAGAGAGTTGCGAGACTCAGAAATACCTGCAATTTTCCTTACTCTCAATGCTCTCAGAAGTCAGAAGTTTTCATCTCTCTCTCCACTCAGGACAAGCTCATCTGGTCATTAACCCCACATGGTTCCTTTACTACCTTTTCTTTCTTTCAACATCTAACTGCCAACCCAACCCCCTCTCCTTTTCTGGGCAAAAAGGTTTGGCTACCCACAGTCCCCCCTAGAATGTCCTTCCTGGTTTGGGAGGCTTCTTGTGCAAAGATGAATACCTGTAACAACCTCCAAATGAAGTTTCAAGGAAAACTCTACATCTCTCCATCTATTTGTCTGATGTGCTATGATGACGGGGAATCTATTGGTCATCTTTTTATCAATTGCAAATTTGCATTGTGGCAAGAAGTCTTTGGCAGTTTTTTCTTGACTCTTTAGCAAGGGTCAGTCTCAGCTGGACTCCCCCAAATTCTGTTATAGAGTTTATCAACTCTTGGCAAGGGCTAAAGATTAATTTGGGCAAGAGAGGAAGTTGCTTCTGGAAAGTAATTATCCATGCTGTCTTGTAGAACATCTGGGAGGAAAGAAATAGGAGATTATTCGATGAGAACTACTCCTCCTTGGAGACTCTTAGAGAATAGTAAAGTTTTTGAGGGTATCAATTGGAGTAAACTGCAAAGGAATTGGACAGTTCTGTTGTCAACCACTCCCTTTCACCCTCGGCCTTTATTTAAAATCACCCCGAGACAAGATTGTGAGTGTTAGTGTCGACTAAATAAGGGTAGAATGGTAATTTGAGTTTTATTAGTATGGTGAGGTGTCTTTAAGTTAGTGCTGATGTGTCCCAACTTAAATAGGGGCATAAAAGTCATTTGTTATTATTTTAGTAAACTATATGTATATATTCTGGCCGACCTAAGAGAGGATTTAATACTCTATTCTCTTGGGTTTGAAGATGTCTCTTCTTCTATTTCTGCTTTTCTTCGGGCCTGTTCGTTTCCTCTTAATTCTTAACTCTTATCTCTTAATAGGAATCTTTTAACTGTAAGAAAAAAATGGTTGTTCGTTTCCTCTTATCTCTTATCTCTTAAAGTGCAATCATACAATTTTTTGTTTTCCAATGATACCCCCAAAAAGACACAAAAACTCTCATATATGGGGTCAAAATGGATATTTGATAATTTTCAGAATTCACAGTTCAGAACAACATTCTTTGCATTCAAAGTTCAGAGGAAAGAAAAGTTCACCAATACCAATATACCTCTTACTGTAATTATTGCACTTTCAGATGTCATACTTCAGAGCAAACGAACAGGCCCTTCTTCTCTCCCTCTCTCTCTTACTTCTTCTCTTTTACATTCAGTTCATATCTGAAACTGACGAATATAAATTATTACATGGTATCAGAGCGAGGATAAGTCAGTTCAGGTCTGTTCGACTTTCAGCGCACCCCAGCTTGTAATCTCTCAGTTTTATTCTGTTTTTTTTTTGGAGTTTCGTAAAAGGGCTGAAAAGGAGTTGTCATATTTTTCTTCTGGAGGTTTTAATGTATTCGATTGTGTGTGAAGTTGTGGTTTCAGGTGATTGGTAGAGAACCCTCTAATCGATGGAACGAAGAAGGCTGCAGCAATAGGTTTCGTGGTAGGTCCAGATGTGTGGTTCAGATCAGTGGACCGAAGGCTTAGTATCAGTCGTATGGAATGCTGAAGTGGTACTCTGGTGTGTGATGTGTGATGTGTTTGTGAGGTGCCAAAAGTGATAATATTGGGGATTAACATTGCTGAAACCTGTGATAGTGTATGTTTCAGCAATGGTCAGTCGTATGGTGGTGAGTGATTAACTATAGGAGTGAAGTACAGTGTTGTTGGAGTGCAGTGTAGTGATTACTGGGTAAGGCAGGTTGAAACAGAAGGGAAAAGTTTTTTTTTTACAGCCATGGGAGACTATGAACATAAGTCGGTTATGATCCCTCGAGACTACTTGAATGTACAGAGGACCTCAATTAAATTGAATGGAGAAAATTACGTACCTTGAGCCAAATCTGTTGAAGTGTTTCTCAGAGCCAAGAAGAAAGTAAAGCATATACGAGAAGAAAAACCCCCAGTTGATTCCCAGGAGTATGGTGATTGGGAGCAAGAAGATGCATAGGTTATGACTTGGCTGTGGAACAGTATGAAACCTAAGATTAGTGTAAATTTCATGTCCTTAGACACAGCCAAGGAAATTTGGTATCATGCAAGGAAGCTTTATTCAGGACAGGATAACACCACTAGAGTATATCAGCTCTATCAAGAGTRTTTTAGTCTGCAGCARGGTAACCAGAGTCTTGAAGAGTATTATGCTAGTCTGAGAAATTTGAGGAATGAGTTGAGTGTAATCAGGTATGGAACCTAAGATTAGTGTAAATTTCTCTTCTTCTCTCCCTCTCTTTTACTTCTTCTCTTTTACATTCAGTTAAACTGACGAATATAAATTATAACAGTGAGTAAATTCTGAACTTTGATCGTAGCTTTAGGAGAGCTATGGAGGGAAGCTCAGACACAGGAATAGGTTTGGTTTGTAGATCAAATGGAGAATTGACATGGGCCTATTAGTGGTCCTTCCAAGTTTGCTGATGTATCAGAAGCAGAGAAGAGGACCCTCCTTGAAGGCCTCAGAATTGCCAAGTCGCAACAGCTTAGTTTCATTGCAGTGGAAGGAGATTCGAGAAATGTTTTTTGCTGACAAGGCCTTGTACATACCCTCATGTACACCCCTCCCATGTTTAATGAAATCGGATATCTTTTCTCAAGAAAAGTAAAATCTGTGTAAATTTCTAGATAAATGAGACACTAGCAAACAAAGGTATTCATCTATTACCTGCAACGTCTCCTTCAATGTCCTTAAGCAACTATAGAATGTTTTTGAAATAAAGTAAAACTCACTAATGAAATGATTGAAATGCTTTACTGATTTGACTTTTTGTAGAAGGGATGTGTTTAGAAGTGAAATATTGCATTTTTTTTCATATTTTATGATTAAGTTGTTTGAATGTGACATAGAGAATTTTCAGCTACTTTAGGTTTCAAGTTGCAATGAAGGCTGATATCTTCTTGTTTAATTGAAGTTTTATAATGTAGGAGCTGGTTATAAGAAGTGAAGTCTATGTGAATTTTAACATAATGAGGTTTAGCAAACTAAGGCATTTACTTGATACTTGCACCAACATGTGGATATAGAAATTTCAAGGGTTTGTAAACAATTTTTGTGAGGATATCTCTAGGATTACTTGAAAGCTCCAAATGGAATGAAAAACCATATTGTTTATATGTTGTCTGCTGTCAGAGAGCATTAACAATGGTCTTCAGCTCCATGGTAGTTCTTTTTGTATTTCATTTTATTTATAAGATTATCAGTTTTTAAAAATTAACCACTTGTCAATGCAGATGATGGATCAGTTTGGTGCTGGGGCTATAATGTCTGTATCCTAAATACTGCATATCTTTTTTTTTTCCTTTTTGGTAATTTGGTTTGTGCACTCACTACTATAACCATTCAGTTAAAAGCTATATTAGACATCTTCTTTATATTTGCTTCTCCTATATTGTACCTTGACTGTTGAATAGATGGTCAACTTGGTCTAACTGCAGAGAATTCTTTAGTTCCTTGTTTCTTAGACCAATTTCTTGAGTTGGGTTCTCCTGATTCATCGGTAGATGAATCAAAACCAAACAGTAAAACACCTTTGAAGGTAGAAATCAAATTTTATTGAATTTAAGGATGAGTGAAGGCAGGAAAGAACAACACTTTTCTTATTAATTTCTCACTGTTCTGACTTTTGATGGGCGATTCAAATGGTAATTTCAGGTTAAGTCTATTAAAGCAGGAGGAATGATGTCCATGGCAATTGATAGTCTTGGTGCCCTCTGGATGTGGGGGAACTGCCCTCAGCAATCCAAGACAACCGATGGAGAGTCCCCTCTTTTCAGAAGTCCCACTCCATCACCCGTTTGGGATTTCCATGGTAGAACTGTTGTTAAGGTGGCATGTGGAAATGAGCATGTTGTAGTCCTAGTAACTGTAGGGGAAACATTTACAGGAGACAATCTTTTATGTTACTCTTGGGGTAATAACAACCATGGCCAATTGGGCTTAGGAGACAAGGAGAGAAGATTCCATCCTGAAATTGTGGAGACTTTTAATCAAGGATGCCCTTGGGTAGTATATGACGTAGCATGTGGAGCTTTTCATACAGCCGTACTCACCTTTAAAAAGACAGAACATTACACAGTGAACTCTTCTTATCCCAATCTTGCGTGGCAAGGAAAACAAAGTATGTGCTGGACATTTGGCCTAGGAGATAGTGGCCAACTTGGCCATGGAACCAATAATAATGCATTAGTCCCAGAACTTGTGAAAGAATTGCCACAAGATGTATTCCTGATTTCCCTTGACTGTGGATTATTTCACACCTGTGTTGTTTCATCAGCTGGAGATGTATGGTCATGGGGAATGGAAAAAGGTCTTGGTCTTTGTCCAGATGCAAGTTTTACTGGTACTGATGCAGGGGATGCAGTCTCTCCACTTAGAGTTCCATTTGATGGACCATATGGACCTCAGTTTGAAGGGCCTGTGCAAGTTACTTGTGGGGCTGCACATACTGTTCTTGTTGCCCATAATGGATATAAGCTTTGGTCATGGGGTAGGGGATGGAGCGGAGTTCTTGGAAGAGGTAACACAATTGACAGCTTTTCCCCTAGTATTGTGATGTGGCCACCACTAAATGAGGATTTCAAGGAGGGCTTGGACAAGGTTGATGGGGAAGGAAAAGTTGAAGATGGAGAATTAGGAAGAACAAGGGAGATGGAGAAAAGGTTGTCCTTGGCAACGGAAGAGGCGCAGCGCCTTCAATCAAAACTGACTGTTATGGAACGATATGCTAACTTGTTACATGGTTCTATTTTTGGAAAGCCTTTGGAGGAGAGAGATGTTCCACCATCACTCCGGGACTCTGGTACATTTGATATTGCAAAGGAGTGGGATAATATGTTGGAATCTGCTGACAGTGGGAAGCTTGTGCGCTTGGAAATGTTCTATCGAAACATGCTATCTGGTGTAAAGGATAAACTATTGAGGAGAAAGATTCAGGAGGTATTCAAGGAGTGTCTTCATTCTTCAACAAATTAGAATTGGGTACCTATGCACAATGCCTTGCATTTCTGATAAGATTGTACACGTTGGTCATGCATGTTTACTTTCTCTTAGCATTATGAGATTGAAAAGATTTCTTCTACTGGTGCTTGCTAAATAAATATTTTTTTTTACTTAGTTAAGAGATTGTAAAGCATTTCCCCATAGTCAAGAGATTGTACATGTACGAATGAAATGCTTTACAATCCAATCTTAGTTAAGAGATTGTACACGTTGTACATGTATTTTGTACTTTGTATTTTTTTTTTATCGTTTGCAATACTATCCAATCTTAAAGGCATTGGAGGCTTTAACCCAGAGACGTGCCTCCAAGTGAGGCATATGAAAAAAACATGGTGTATGGTGGAGGCATGCACACGTGAGGCATACACTTCTAGTATAAAGACATGCACAAAATCAGATCAGTAAGTTCAATTTTGTATTATAGGTTTGATATAATTAGATTGGAGTTAGATAGTTTGTATCAAAGGTTCAAAGTATTGAAAATGCAGAGTATCAAAAAGGAAATTTTTAGAGACACATTGGGATACATTTTGGATATGCATGGATACAGTAGAAAAATTAGGAATTTAGGATATACACAGATAGATTTGGAAAAATCACATATATCCCAAGAATACATCAATAACACTAAATATAGGTCTTAGATGGCTATAAATAAGGTATGTAAACATAAAAAAAGGCTTACTCTTTAATAGTTTATGTTAGATATGAGTTACCAGGATACACAATTTGAAAAAAAAATGATAGAATATCTAAGATGTGCATGCATATCTTAATTCTTAGAAAATCAATATAAATCATTATCAATATATAATATATAAATTTTAATAATCAATTGTTTTTCCTAAAATTTGTAAATAATCATGAACTTAGAACATAAAATGTGAGTTAAAATACCAAACTCATATATTTATGAAGTATGGTCTGGTGGTAGATTTGTCCCCTCCGAACCTAGATACTAGGCTCTATTTGGAAGGAGTGCATATGGTTCAAGGTAAATATGTACTGTTATGGGCCCGAGAATAGGATCTCGTCACGGGTCGGTCCACGGGGAAAACCTTCTGTTTTCTCTTGTTCCTCCCTTTTCTTGAGGAACCTATTTTGGCGCCTTAATGGTGATTTGTTCAAGAGATCACCAACTCTCCTCACTCTTTTCTTGACTGAAGTTTTTGATGCCTTCATTGAATAATATCAGCTCCTTAAATAGGAAATTACAAGAGATAAGAGTCCTACTTTTAGGAAGACTCCTTGCTAATTAGGAAGAGTCCCTACTAATCTATCCTAATGAACTGATAAGATAAGATAAGACTCCCTTAATCTATCCTACTGAACTGATAAGATAAGATAAGATAAGGCTGAACTGATAAGATAAGATAAGACTCCCTTAATCTATCCTACTGAACTGATAAGATAAGATAAGATTGAACTGATAAGATAAGAACACTGAATAGATAAGACTCCTACTAATCCCTGCTACTGAAAGCAGATAAGGTAAGAATATTGAATAGATAAGATAGGATGAGAACACTAAATTGTTGCTGCTGAGAACACTAAATTACTGCTGCTGCTGCACTAAATTACTGTTGTTGCTGTTGGCGCCCACATCATTACTCCCCTCCTGAACTACGAGCTTGTCCTCAAGCTCGAATTCAGGATGGGTGTCTTGAAACATAGTCAAAGGAATCCCGGATAGGTGGAATGATTTTGCCCTCCTAGATCGGGTTCCAATGAAGAGGGTGTTATGGACGCATTCCTTGGGAAGACGTACCGTCGCCACCGGCAGCAGCAGGCACCTGACCCACCGCCAGCAGCAGCAGTGATTCAATGATTCTCATCCTACCCAGTTCGGCAACAGCAACCTTATCTAGATTAGATTAGATCATCTTGTTTGTTCTTATCTTATTCTATTGCTCTTATCTTATCTTGTTAGTAGCTTATCAGATTAGGATTAGCTTATCTTATCCTTAGCAAGATAGAACTGGAAGTTTCCCTATTCAGCAAGGAGACTCCCTTTGATTAGGACTCTTGTAATCTCCTATTTAAGGAGATCCCATTATTGGATGAGGATATCAAATTTCCAGTCAAGAAAGAGAGTAAAAGGAGAGTTCGGTGATCTCTTGGACAAATCACCCTCTAGGACGCCAAGATAGGTTCAGCTAGGAAGGGGAGGAACAAGGGAAAACAGGAGCTTTTCCCTGTGGACCGACCCGTGACGCGATCCTATTCCCGGGCCCATAACAGAGGGTTCATCCTCAGACAGCTGTAGTGAGATACCAAGATTTGACCATGCRTAGCTGCATTCTTTTCCGCGGCCAACTGCAGCCTTAAGGTACTTCTGAGATGTCTTGAGCTGTAGAGTACAAAGATTGTGAAGGCCAAGCTGGTGCCACTGAACCGCATCATCTGGATCCTCTTCTATTGCCTGCTTTAGTGTGTACAGAGCCCGCTCTTCCACTTCCGTCAAATCATTATGTCCAGTTCCAAACGTTGTTGCAATTTCATGCTAAGCCTTGTGAACCATGGCGAGTCCTGCCCATGCTATCTGAAGCTCAATTGTTGCAGAGTCCCCTTCTCTGAGTATTGAAGCCATTTCATTCGTAGACCTTTCTGCATCCTTGATACGATGAAGCGCAACATCATATCGAGTTGACATGCAATTAGGCTCCAGTTTCGCTGCCTTCTCCAAGCACTTTCCAGCACTTCTATGATCACCAGCCAAATAGTATGCATTAGCAAGATTCACC